CACACACTCACACACTCACTCACACACACACTCACACACACACTCTCACTCACACACACACTCTCTCACTCACACACACACACACACTCACACAAACTCACTCACACACACACACACTCACACTCACTCTCTCACACACACACACACTCTCTCTCTCTCTCTCTCTCTCTCTCACACACACACACACACACTCACTCACACACACACACACTCACCCTCACTCTCTCACACACACACACACTCTCTCTCTCTCTCTCTCTCTCTCTCACACACACACACACACACTCACTCACACACACACACACTCACCCTCACTCTCTCACACACACACACACTCTCTCTCTCTCTCTCTCTCTCTCTCACACACACACACACACACTCACTCACACACACACACACTCACCCTCACTCTCTCACACACACACACACTCTCTCTCTCTCTCTCTCTCTCTCTCACACACACACACACACACTCACTCACACACACACACACTCACCCTCACTCTCTCACACACACACACACTCTCTCTCTCTCTCTCTCTCTCTCTCACACACACACACACACACTCACTCACACACACACACACTCACCCTCACTCTCTCACACACACACACACTCTCTCTCTCTCTCTCTCTCTCTCTCACACACACACACACACACTCACTCACACACACACACACTCACCCTCACTCTCTCACACACACACACACTCTCTCTCTCTCTCTCTCTCTCTCTCACACACACACACACACACTCACTCACACACACACACACTCACCCTCACTCTCTCACACACACACACACTCTCTCTCTCTCTCTCTCTCTCTCTCACACACACACACACACACACACACTCTCTCACATACACACACACTCTGTCTCTCTCTCTCTCTCACATACACACACTCTCACACACACACACACTCACTCTCACACACTCGCACAAACACCCTCTCTCTCTCTCACACACACACACACACACACACACACAGACACACACGCTCGGGTCCCTCAGCAGCTGAATCTATATTTGTCCTCCTCTACAGAAATGAAAGAGGCATTCTAATGAAGGACAGAAAACGCAGTAGCTGGCTTCCTGTTTGCACTGTCTGATGTGATGAAGAGCTTTCATCTTCCTCATCTGATGGGATTCTTTCACTCTCTCTCGTTTGATCTCTCTCTGCTCTCTGGATCTGGATCTGGATCAGTCCCCGTTCGTATGAAACATGCATATGTTGAGCTTCATGTGCATCTCAACTTCTTCATTCTTCTCCGTCTCACGTCTTCCCCACAATGCCTGTGATCCAAAACATGTGCAGAAGCAGCTGAGTGCTGCAGATAAACGCTCGATACCGTCTTACAGAGAAAAGACAAACTCACATTAATATTCATGATCTCGTGCATCATTCGTCACGGTCACAGCAAACAGGAATCATGGTGAATGGTTATGAATGTTAAAGTCGGAATCCTGTTTACTCTCATATTCATATGTACGCAAAGTCAAGTTCAGGGTTTGACATCAAGGTCAAAGGTCAGCTGGAGATGCTGCGTTGTGTGATTTAAGGGAATTGTTCATGTAAAGCTGAAGTTTGTTGGTTGTGATCTGCTCAGTGTGATTCTGTCATTCTCTGCCTGGTGCAGGTTTTCATGTGTGTTTGTTTCTGCTCTGATCACAGTTTGATTTGAAATGACGACAGAACCTGAGAGCCAATCAGAGCAGCAGGGGGCCAGCGCGGCTCCGCCCCTCGACAACCAGCTTCCTCCTGCCGCCGCCCACAGCACACCTGTGAGGAAAGAGCAGGTACTGTTTGCCCTTCCACTGTGCTGCTGTTCCATTATTTTTCTCTGTGTAGATCAGAGGTGAAACGCTCTGGAAATAAACATCTGTGTGATCCGCGTGTTCTCTGTTCGAGCGACTGACTGTGTTTGTGATTGGTTTTTGTTTCAGGCGTCGCCTGGAATTTCTCATTCAACGTGAAGTTTTACCCTCCGGAGCCGGCGCTGCTGTCTGAAGACATCACCAGGTCAGAGACTGAGAGAAATCATCTCCATCCATGGCCACATTTTATTACAGTACATTATAATGCTTTTATCATGTATTTTAAAGCAGAAAAATGTGAAAAAATATATAATAATTTTTTTAATATTAAATTTTTTTTTTAAATATTAACATAAATTTATAGCTAATATAAATATGTCTTAAATATATTTACCTAAATGCATTTTGAATATATTTTAGTTTATATTTTTTTTAAATACTTTTCATTAAGAGTAAAAAAAATTTTTTTTTATTTTATTATATATATATACTTTTTTTTTTTTTTTTAATGGTCTTAATTTCAGTTAGTTAGTTGATTAATTAGTTAACTATCATAACCCTGCTGGATGCTCACAGTAAATGTTTATAAAACTGCATGTGTGTCTTAAAATGTATTTGAAATGTGTTTTCTTGAACCTGAAGTACCTTTTATATTATATTTTCAATTTTTTTAGTATAAACAAAATATGTTTTGGGAAATATATTCCTTAAAATAAATACCCTGTTGTTTATGTATTTACAATATCTTTGATAAGTTTAGCCAGAAACACACACATACACAAACACATGCTCACACACACACACACACACACACACACACATATATGTATATATATATATATTATTTTTTTGCCATATAAATAAGAAATAGTGTAAAATAAGTCAAAGGAGGTGAAATATCAGTGATGGACAATAAAGAACATTTTTAATCATGCAAAGTGAACTAAGAAAGCACTGATGAATCTGTGTGTGTGTTTCAGATATTATCTGTGTTTACAGCTGCGGGATGATATCGTATCGGGTCGTTTGCCGTGTTCGTTCGCCACACACACGGTTCTGGGTTCGTATTCGGTTCAGTCGGAGCTGGGCGATTATGACCCGGACGAGTACGGCTCCGACTACGTCAGCGAGCTTCGTTTCGCGCCTCATCAGACCAAAGAGATGGAGGAGAAAATCATGGACCTGCACAAGAACTACAAGTGAATCTCGTTCTGCTTCTGTGTCAAAGCAGCTTCACTGTGTTATTATATATATATACTTAATTAATTAGTTAACTATCATAACCCTGCTGGATGCTCACAGTAAATGTTTATAAAACTGTATGTGTGTCTTAAAATGTATTTGAAATGTGTTTTCTTGAACCTGAAGTACCTTTTATATTATATTTTAAATTTTTTTAGTATAAACAAAATATGTTTTGGGAAATATATTCCTTAAAATAAATACCCTGTTGTTTATGTATTTACAATATCTTTGATAAGTTTAGCCAGATACACACATATACACAAACACACGCTCACACACACACACATACACACACACACATATATGTATATATATATATATATAATTTTTTTCCCATATAAATAAGAAATAGTGTAACATAAGT